CATTTACATCATGTAGTGGGGATATAATAGTATCATGTTAAAAAATCTGATTCTTTAAATAATAATATAGTCTAATATATTACTCGAGTTTAACTACCACACTGGTATAAAAATCTAAAAAAAAAAATAAATAAATAAGGCTATGAATAATTCCAAACATCAAATTCAAATTACACGTTTTTTTGGCTTTGACCATTTGGCCGGTCTGAGTAATAACTGATCTATGCCTGAAAGAACATGAAAGCTTGATCAAATAAACATCCATGCATATCTTACATCAACGTAGTTCACGTACATATATAATTGGCACAAATAGCAATTCTTAATAACACAACGATTTACCAAAAAATATCCCTTGTACTAAAAAAAGTAATTTTCTACTTCCATATTTAATATTTTTCTAAACTATCATTATCAATCACTAATAGAATACTAAAATATAGGATAGATCAAAATTATAAATATATTTTATTACTTGATTATAGTAGCTTTCCTAAATTGAAAGAACTATATTTTTTAGAATGAATCCGTACATGATGAAACATGACTTTATTTTAATGAATGAAAATAACAATTTAAAGAATACAACTATAGCTGGAAATGACGCCAATAATTTTCATAAACAATTTTGGCCGACAAATTTCATATTACACCGTGCCTTTATTTTATTTAAAAAATAATCACTTATTTTGAAATTTTAAGAAGCTTAATTATCAAATATATATACATATATATACATATGTATATATATATATATATAAACATTTAGAAAAAAATTCAATAAAAAATAACATTATTAATTTTTTATATTTTTATTTAATATTAAATTATCATATATGATAAAATTATTGACTTTGTTTTCTACAATAGTCGTTAACTTTTTTAATAACTATTTTAAAAGTTATTTTAATTAATTGACACTATAAAAAAATTTATTAACAATGGCAAAAAAAAAACTACACCTTAAAGATCAACACAAAAATTAAAGTAATAATAATCTTTTTATAACTATCAAAAAAAGTATTTCATAAAAGAAAAAGTGAAGTTATTATATTTTTAATTTGTCTGTCAAAACTTTAAACAACAGTTACAAATTAAATAGGTAGTATATTTAACTTATTTCAAACTCCTTTATTGGTTGACAACTTGACATTGATTATTTATTTAAAATTTAATTTAAATACCATTTATTATCATTAGTTTTTTTTTAATAAAAATAATGAAACTTCCAATTCCTAGCTATTAATAACATATAATAAAAGACAGTAATAACTCATATACTTAACGTGACATTCATTGAATAACAGAATAAAAAGGATTATATTATATGAGGCATATTTAAGAATATCGTCTGTAATAAATGCTGAACTTCCTCGTCTAACATTAGACACGCCAAATACATACGAAGAACAAGCACCCAAGAAAAAAAAAATTGTTCAAAAATTACGCAATATCAAATTTTCTAGTTCCATGCATATAATTTTAATAAAAATACGATTTAATTTATTTTTTTGCACTTAAATGACAATTTTTATTTATTAAGACAGTCTTATCTAAGACAAATAATATTATTTTTTATTAATTTTTTTTAGATCAGATAAAATACGACTCAATTTAAAGTTAAGAACAATAATATTATTATATATAAACGTTATATATATATATATATATATATATATATATATTTATTTATTTA